GTAGCCTGGCTCATCGACAACCCTAATGAAAGCCTGCTCAGCCAAGCCGTCCGTTTCATTCTGTGCAAGAGCTGCATTCCCTCGGTGGGAGATGAGCACGTCAAGCGAGCGAGCTCCCCGGCGCCCAGTGGCATCGTTAGGGATGTGTAAACGAGGGTAATCCTCGACCACCCACGATATTGATACCCATCAACATATCTTCCATACTGCATGCAAGATGCAGAATCCCAACGACGCCGCATATCGGCCGGCCGAAAATTTGCGAAGGGGTGCCATGGAGCACGCCTTGGCGAAAGCAGCAGCGAGGTCGGAAAATATTCTCGGCTCATCTGAATCGGAATCCACGTCAAGCTCAGAGAGCGACATCTTTGATGACGAAGCGCGCAGGCACCCAATTCCCAAGCGTGTCCTATCAGCAGTCGAAGTGCCGATGATTGTCATGAATCTGGACCGGGCTGAAAAGGCGTTTGGAAGAATCACCAGTTTCCAGAACGTGCTCGACTTGGATCGCCTGAGCATCCCCTTCTATCTCAACCCAGAGAGTCCTTTCAGGAGACCTGTCATGTCGCATAACGCCGCTACACACAACGTTGTGCTCAAAATCACTGTTCCCAAAAGAACAGGGAGGAAACGTAAGAAAGGCTCAAGCGGCCCCTTCGAGGGCGAGTCGAACGCGATGGAGCCTGGGGCTGTGGATGCGCCCTCGTCCTACGTATGCTCCAAGGCACGAGAAGATAACCCAAGAGTCTTACGGCGGAAGCTACAAGACAACATCGACGACTACCGTGTTGAGCCGGTTGGCCTTGTGAAGGGCACGCACCGATTTCGAGGTTTGACACCGCGTGCTTGGTAGACAGGCCCATGACTGACATGACGCAGGCCCAGCTGACTTTCAATGGAACATGGACGAGTCGCCTTTTATCAAGCGATTTCAAGAGGGCGTCATGTCTGGCGACCTCAACAAGATGCGAGAGTTCAAATTCAACGAGGGAACAGACCTGGGTCCGAATGTTGAGCTAATCCCACCTCCACAATGGGCTACAACCGCCCTGCCGTTCAATTATACGTACGAGCAGAATCCATACGTGCGTCCCGAGATGGACCCTAGTGGCAAACAAACATTGGTCAACACACAGATGCCGGTCTTGGTCGGATATTTCCTTAGTGCCGACCAGTACCCCGTACCAACGGGCCCGCAGTTCGAGTATGATGGCGGTGACCTGAGGTTGAGATGTGCATCACTCTCTCCAAGGAGCTTATGGAGGACAGGCCGATAATGGACACGAAGATCGCTCCTGAACGCCCTCGGGACCAAGGTCCGTAACGCACACATTGTCAAGCGCTGTGCGGGCTTTGCAGGATATCAGTTTCGGGGTGGGCCGTTCCGTGATTCCATCATCAAGTACGGCGTCGATCCTCGGTCTGATCCAAGCTTCCGCAAATACCAAACTGTCATCTTCAATTTACGCAAGCTGCAGCCGGGATATGCCGGCGAGACGTGGCAAGGCCTTCGCAGTATCCGCACCGAAGCCCGACAGCAGATGGGCGACAATTTTAACAGCCACGTCTTTGACGGCAAATCGTTTTGGTCCGATGGCAAGATCTGGCAGGTCTGTGACATCACCGACCCAGTCATTGCACGGATCGTAAACGAGTCGCCCGTGCGACCCGAGTGTAGCATCTTAACGAGCGGGTGGTTCCACGGAGCCACGTGGGCGAAACTTAAAGCTGTTATGAAGACAAAGATGATGGCAGTTCAATTTGGGCGCAAGTTCCCTGATGAGGCGTTCGATGCAGTGTTTGAGGTGCGGGACACCACGCCCCCGCCTAACTCGTCAGCCGTGCGGATCCCTGTCCCTGATCTGAAGCTCACAGACGACGAAATGCGTGAGATTTACGGTCGAAACTGGAAGCAACCCAAGAAGAAGAAGACCCACGGTTTTGACTACCGCGTGCCTGGGCAGAACAAGCGCGGGCCGCGGCTCAAAAGCGTGGCAGAAGTCGATGGCGAAGACGACGAGCCGTTCGAAGGAGGCAGCGGGCCGAATAGATACCATTCCGCACATGAGACGGCCCGCGCCCTAGCAGGCAGAGACGAGCAGACGTCAGATCACGGCCGAGATGATCATGTCAAAATCGATCCGAACCTGAGTGGCATTTTGCAGGAGGACGGAGAACCAGACGAAGATGAGGAAGAGGAAAGCATCCTGGCGCAATTGACAGGGTCGGCTGGCCAGAATGATGCGAGCAGATCGCCGTATGCCGACCGTAGCTTCTACGTTCCCATGGAAAGGCGAGGCCGAAGAGACGGGTAACGAGTACGATGACGATGAGGAGGAGACGAAGAAGACGACGAAGAAGACGACGATGACGATTACGTGGCTTTCGGGGCTAATCGCTTCGGCGGGCCATCGAAACGACAAGCAGATGCTCTCAGAGACACGGACGCTGAAATGACAGCAGGGGGATATGACGAGGATGAAGACGAGGAGGACGAGGACGAGGATGTGGAAGGAGAGGAAGAAGAAAACGAGGATGAGGTCGAGGCTGAAGAGGTTACGGGAAGCGGTGTTGGACCCCGAGGGCCTCCCTTATAATCAGGTCGCCGAGAAGGCCACAGACGGCCGGCCAAAATACTGGCTTGACGAGTCATACAGGCAATACCATAATGCAAGTAAGGATGGAAGCAGATTAGAGGACATATTGGTGGTTGTTCAGCCAGCTAGGCCAGCGATGATTGCCCAGATAGGACACCGACCAGTCCCAATACGAACACCGACTGTGAGTCAGCCCCCATTTCCAGCCAAGACTCATGTGGCATGTAGCAGAGGGCCAATCCAACGGCTTACATCGACTGGCTGCCTTGACAATGTTATTCTAGACCTATTGATCAACACTTGTGCCCTTGTGCCTGGGCTCGGTGCCTGGGTTCGTTGGCTTGTCCAGAAGACCTCGCGTTCCCAAAACCGACAACAGAGGCTGCATGCAAGTAGGTGGCGACTGATGATGACAGCCCCACCACACTACCTTGTAACGCAACGATGAAAAGAGAGACGTCATCTGCTTGCCTGCTGGCCTTTTATAGAGAACATGGCATTTTGCGAGTGAGACAGTTTAGGCACCGATTCACAGCGTTGCCTTCACAATACCACAACCCGCCCGAAAAGCTTATACACAAGGAGCCTCATGCAGATCATTTCACCTAGGGGCTGGTCATAAGTCGAGTGAACTTTGCTGCCTAAAGAGAGTACCTCATTGGGCCCACAAAGGCGTTCAAGGTATAAGTCATCGTCCAGCCTACGTTTCCTCCTGTCACTCGCCTCTTCCCAGCTTTCATAGAACGTATGATCCTTCATTATACCAGGGATCATTAGGAGCTATATAGACATCAAAGCATCGAGTTGAACTGACAGCCCAAGGTCGAGCAAGGGCGAACAGAAACAAAGGCCGGACGGTTCCAAGAGCAGGAAGACAAGGAGGTCCGGACATTGGCATTGGGCAAGTGACCGGCCGGACGACGGGGCAAGTGACCAGACGACCGGCCAACCCAATATCGTGAACGCCGGCTACAACCAATCGGCCGAGCCGAAAGACGGGACACTGCGCGAGACCGGGCAGGGCCTACAAAAAGCTTGGACGAAGAAACTCGCAGGCTTGAGATTACAAAGACAACCAGCAACAACAACACCACAAGCAGGGTGGCCGTGATGGACATTAAGGAGATCCTCTACGGCCTCTTCGGCCCAAACAGCACAGCAGATGCTTGCGCTGGGAGTCCACCTGCGGCATCATCTTCTGGTACGTTTACCAGCCATGGGCGACTTCCCAAGAACCCCCTTCTGGATGCCCTGGCTCCCCTCCTCGGAGGCCAACTCAGTCCTCTTCTCCGCGCCTTGAATCTCGCCAACAACATCCTCGGCGCCCGTCTTGGCCTGCCCATCGACCCCTCGTTCCTCTTGACCCTCGCCGCCGCCGCCTGGGCCATCAACCGCTTTGCCCGACAGCTTTACCACGCCCTCGCTGCGATCGTGACCGCCCATTTCATGGCATCCATCACCGTGGCGTCGACAGACGAAATCTATGTTCATATGATGAAGTGGCTCGCCGTTCAGCCGTTGGTCACGACGTCTCGCTCGCTCATGGCCGAGACCGCCGCTCATTCCGCCTGGGAAGATGACGAGGATCAGATAGATGCCCTTCAACTTCGCACGATTGCCGGCGGCGGCGATGAAAAGTATCTCAACTTCTCCAACCAGCAGGCCAACGCACCCCCTCGCTTCGTACCAGCGGTTGGTCTTCACGGCTTCTGGTATGGACGTCGCTACTTCCGCCTGCAGCGGAAGCACCAGTCGTTCCTCGACGATAACTCTGGAGGAGCTCGTGGCTCGACCGGCACGACCCTGGAGAAAGAGGAGGTCCTCGTCATCTCCTGCTTCGGCCGCTCAACCACACCTATTAAGACTCTCCTCCAGGCCGTCAAGCAGCATTACTACAGCGACCACGTCGCCCGCACCACCATCAAACGACCCTCGCCGCAGCCCCTCCGCCGCTTCAACGCTCGCAACTGGGCGACTGTGGCAGTTCGTCCCGTCCGCGCCCTTCGCACAGTCATCCTCGACGCCGCTCAAAAGTCGACCGTCCTCGCCGATATGAACGAGTATCTCCACCCTGCGACCCCGCGTTGGTACGCTAACCGCGGTATCCCTCTTCGTCGCGGTTATCTATTCCACGGACCTCCTGGCACTGGCAAGACGTCTCTGTCGTTTGCCCTCGCCGGAGTCTTCGGGCTCGACATCTACGTCATCAGTCTGCTCGAGCCCACGCTCTCGGAAGAAGATCTCGGCACTCTCTTCAGCAGCCTGCCCCGGCGCTGCGTCGTCCTCCTCGAAGACATTGACGCCGCCGGCCTCCGCCGCCCACAAGAAGAGGTAGAGGAAGAGGAAGCAAGCGAAGCACCAGCCACAGACAAGAAGGCCCGCCCAGGCCGCGGTGCGCGCGCGAGCGTCAACGGCGACAAGGACTCCGTTTCACACGACCAGCCTGCGGCTCACCGCCCCCGCGAAGACTGGAAGGTCTCCGACCTCGCCCGCGCCCTCAAGGCACCCGGCGCCGGCGGCGACGACCGCAAGGGTATCTCCCTCTCCGGTCTCCTCAACGCCATCGACGGCGTCGCGTCTCAGGAAGGCCGCGTCCTCGTCATGACGACCAATCACCCCGAGGCCCTCGACGCCGCGCTCATCCGGCCTGGTCGCGTCGATCTACAAGTCGCCTTTGGAAACGCCACGAGCGAGCAGGCGCGCGAGCTGTTCGAGCGTATGTACGAGGCAGATGCCGCAAAGAACGACGCCGCCGTCGAAAAGAGCGGCGAGGCGATGCAGAACGGACAGGCGGAGAACAAGGGAGCCGAGGGCGGCGGCGACGACGGCGTCGATAGCCTGTCACACATTGCGGCCGCGTTTGGCAGCAAAATCGACGACGGGCTTCTGAGCCCAGCGGAGATTCAGGGATTCCTGCTCAAGAGAAAGAAGGACCCCAAGAAGGCGCTGCGGGAGACGGATCGCTGGGTGGAGGCGATGAAGGCGCAGAAGGAGAACAAGACAAAGGTCCTTACTGTTCAGTGATCTCTGGAAGAATGGAGCAACGGCACGAGTTTCGGGACTCAAGAAGAAGCATTAGCGTTGGCATCAAAGTACATCGGGCGGACTGGGACGAGAAGACGACTTGCCAGTGAGGCAACTCCGGCTTTCTGTGTTCCAAGGAATTGCTCCAATAGAAGTCTTTATGAGGTTGTCTTCTTTGCATCATGGGACGAGGACAAGGGAATAGGGAAAAAGCATCAGATTGAAGACCCAGTTGTGCTTCCATGGCACAGCGATAATCAGGTTCATAACATTGGCACCGTATCAATAACAAAATCAAACATGGGATTCGTCTTGAACAGTGCTTCGAATTGAGTTAACAAGCCTGAGCTGCCGTCCCATGATTGAGTTCTATATCAATCTTGTTCACGATACATGACTTGAAATGAATAGCTTCAGTCGGGAAAGCGCTCTCCCAGCCCCTTTGACATGATGCTTCCCATGATAAACTACAGAAAAATCCAGACCGAAACAGAACGCCGACATGTCCGGCCGGCGCGTGGTATATTCATGACTCCTCTCCCCTTCCCCTTAAGCAGAATAAGAGAAACACTTTAGTCGAGATCATCATCCACCGCCGACGCCCGTCGGTCAAAGCCTGTCCCGCCTATGGACGGGCTGGTACTGTTGCTGCTATGTTTCCTCAGCAGCCCGCTTGCGCCGCCGCGGCCCCAGCCCCCGTTCGTCACGAGGTTCATGGCCCTGTTTTCTGCGGCCTCGGCGTCGTCTTCGGGGCTGTGGCCCTCGTCGTCTGTGGCAAAGAGGTCGTCTTCGATCGTCTTGCCTCTGGGGCTGAGCTTTCGCATAGAGACGGCATCCTGCATCTCGTCTGCGTACAGGTTAGGGTCACGGCCTAGCACACGGTCGGCCTTGGAGGGTGTTTTTCGGCCTGTGAGTGTCGAGGGCGAGGGCGAGGGCGCTGACGTCTGGTTGAAGTGGCGGCCCGCACCGGCCGGAGGGTTGGGACGTAGGAACTGGGGCGGCGCATCGTCGGAGCCCCATCCAGCATTGACTTCACGGGCGCGCTGAGCTTCGCGATCCCGCCTGATACGATCTTGGGCTGCAACCCACTTGGGGCTGGCCTCCCAAGACCACCCATTGCCAGTCGTGTTGCAGATGGGAAAGGCCCAAAGCCAAGGCGTGGGACCAAAGAGGTGGAGGAGGTTACGCTTGGCGCCGAGGTCGAAGGCATTAGGGAGCTTCTCCGAGTCCTGCTCATCGAGGTAGTCCTCGTAGCGTTTCCGGGCGTTGTGTCTCTCAACCTCCTCGTAGGATTGGAATGCGGGACGCTGGCCGTCAAGACCGGGCACGCCCGAGCGGTATTCCTCACCCTCTTCAGGGCGGGTGATGCCCGGCAGAGCGTTGGCGTGAACGTCAAGCAGCTGCTGCCCATATTGCGGTAGCGGAACACCGCGGATATTGTTCGTCTGCATGGCTCGGCGGATAGGCGAGAGGTAGCGAGTCTTCTCGAGACACTCAATGGTGGTCTGGCCTCGGCTGGCTAACAGTATATGCCAGCCAGTGAACGCTCCGACAACGATGCCGATAATGCCCGACACAACGCTCAGAATTATGAAGTTGATGGGGAGCAGCGTGTCTACGTATGTAGTGTTGTTGACAATCTCGACGTAGACCCAGCTACCGGAGACGGCGAAGGAGTAAAAACACAGGATTGTCGTATAGATCAGGAACAACAGGAAAGCTTTGTGGTTCTTCAACCCGATGCACGTGGCCAGCCAAGGACAGTGGTGATCCATCTTGAGAACACACTTGCGGCAGCTAGAACAGTGATGGGCGCGATCAGGTTTCCTGGCTTGGCATTTCTTGCAGAAACGCACTTCACCATTGGACTTGACGGTGAAGGAAGTGGCGGTTGGCGGGGCTTCGGTTGGTAACTCGGCGTAGCCATTGTCGTTGGTGGTGCTGCCAGGGTTTGTGAAGACGGCAGTTGTGTAGGACCAGTTGAGAAGTCCGTATATAAGGATCGCGACGAAGGATGAGCCGTTGCCTATACCAGTAGGTCAGTGCTGTTGGATCAAATCGAACGGACATAGAGGGGTGGGCTGCCACGCACCTAGCCAAGCAACCTTGGATTGGGAAGAGCCGATGTTGACGTCTACCCAAACGGCCCATGTGGTGAGGCCGTAAACGAAAAGGAGAGGGAAGTAGGTCAGGGAGGTGCAGCAGCAGCGCTCGATCCTGCGTGCCCACCGACGAATCCCAGCCATGGTAAAGGGTGTTGGTGATGCGGGTCGAGTAGAGTCCATCAGCAGACAGGGGACGGAGTGCGAAGTGCAAGGAGGATGCCTCTCATAGCGTAGACAGGAAAGCGGAAAGAAAATGTTTATCGTCGCATGGAGGCACTGCAGATGTTGTGCGTCGTCAGAGAGCGAATGCCGGAAACTCCGTAGGTGATGGTGGATGGTTGATGGCCACGCGGACGATCCGACCTTCAATGGAAATGGAAGCTTCGGTATCTGATACCATCACAATCAGGGAATCAGGGGTCCCTGAGAGAGGGTCAGGGGGCGAGGCTGGTGCTGACCAACACCGAGGCCAGGTTGTGGCGGTGCAAATTCGAGGGCCAGATGTCAAGTCGTGCCAGTAATCTGGGACACGCGTCGCGTGGTGGCTAGCGTGGTGGACGTCACTTCTCATTCTCGAGCAGCATGATCACACTGCAGCGCATTGTGTTTAACTTTTCCTACGGGGTTCTCGTTTGTCTGCTTAAGCTGTCTACGCGTCGTTGGTCTTACCGAGGCCAAGGGCGGAAAACACTTTGTTTGCTAACCGAGGAGCTGCATCTCATCGGCCCTTCGCACTCAAAATTTGGGCCCTCGATTTACCATTCTGCATCTTTGACCTCATGAGTACGCCAGTAGTCGGCACGCTCAGAGAGCTTGATCGAGCCTGGCTGGACGCTAGCGACAGCGTTGAGACTGCGACTTACTTTGCCGTACTGAATAAGGGCCTCGTTGGTGACCTCATACTTGATGGTCGTGTCGGAGTGCTGTCCTACGGCGTCCATGACACCGGCAGTGAGCTGGGCCAGAAACGGCCGGTACTTTGCCGATGTTCGGATGTTGCAGCGCGTTGACTGAGACTCGGCATGTTGGGTCATGGCCGTGACACCGACGAAGAATCGAAGACACGCCGGGCATTGAAGTCTGTCACCGGTGCCGTGCATACCGCGGGTCACCAAATGGTTCGTGATCGCAACGGCAGAATCAAACGACTGCGGACATCCTTTCATTGGACATTCAAATAGGTTGTTGAAGTCATTGAAGTACTTCTCGGCATCGAAATCCTGATGGTTCGGATCATGGATAGCTGCAAGGTATTCTGATTTTGCATTGGGTCTTGTCGCTTCAGCCAGCTGTGCGGAGGTTGGTCTCTGTACGGCAGTCGCATTTGGAAAAAGATTCTCCTGTCGTCCCCACGCATCAGGGAGACCTTGACCGCCCTGTTGCTGACATTGGCCTTGTGGCTGCGGGACCTGGCTCGCCTGGTTTGGCAGTATGGGGAAGGCATCAGGAGCAAACGAAAGCCTGTTAGCCGGGGCTTGGTTCTCGGCAGGGTGTCGGACCCAGTTGTGTGCATTGTCAGCGTTCAAGTTGGCTTTGTCAGAATCTGATTCGGTCAGGCTGAGCTTCTCCAAGGCCAAGGGCATGGCAAGCTTTTTTGTGCGATATGCGTCTAGAGCAGACTTTGGGATGACGGAGCATTCCTCATACTCGAGGTGTCCCATGAGGCCACCAGCTCGGGCAAACCTGGCTTCGCATCCTGGGCATTTCAGGTCTTGCTCCCTTCCGTGGGCCTGATGCCGTAGAGTCAACATTGAGGGACGTCCTAGGGGGGCCTTGGGTTGTCAACGCTGAAGACTCACCTGTTTTACATGGTGTACCATGACAATGACCGAGCCAAAGGTAAGCCCGCAGGTGGCACAATGTACGTGAGAGCCATCCTTCTGATATTTCTCTTCACGGTGCGTTTGCAACGACTTCCAGCTCTTGAACGTCGCACTGCACTGCAGGCAGGGATGGGCAGCAGAGGGAGGCATTTTCGAATGACCTTCTGTCGCTACCTAGGTAATCAGGACCGGAAACTGTCTCTTTCAACACCAAGAGCGTTTGCCTCAATGTGAGCTCGCCAACGAGGGTATCTAGTGGAGTGACTGGAAGCTAATCAAGGTCGCCAAGGCCGAACTTGATTAAGGTACTGGTCAACAGAGTCCGTCTTGCCCGGGGAAGGTATGTATTTAAGACGCGGAGCCGATCCTCGATATGGAAGTGGAAGGCATCACTTGAAGCTTGCTCTGAATCACAAAAGCTGAGGACACATGCTGAAGGAAGAGATGTCCGCGGGTAAGTGAGTTGCATTGTGCCTGCCCTGCGGAGGCAAGAGTGAATGAATGTCATGGTTGCTATAGATGACTAGGTAGCTACCTACCTAGGTACCTGCCTACCTACCTACGGTACCTCAACCTTACCTTACTTGACACCAAGCTCCACGAAGAAGTTTCATTCCATATTAGTTCCAACCTTCCGCCGGCTGAGAGAATGAATGGGTTGCCCTCCCTCAAAGCACACATATTGGGCAGCTAAGGCAACTAAGCTACTTTGGTTTGGAGGTGCGGCTTGGCAATGTCGAGAGAGTCGTCATCTAAGCGGAAAGAAAACTGGTGAGCTGGCATGCTTAGATATACTCCAACCACCATCGTTTCGTCAAAGTCTCAGCGATGCCTACAGTCCTTCCCCAGCTGATGGGTGTCCTTCGTCCTCTTCAACAATGTTGGCACCAGAGAAGGCGCGATTCAATTATCGTCAACGGCTCCACACAACGATTTCAGGTTGTATTCGTTGCACAATCTGCTTCACATGCTACCTTGGACAACAAAGGTGGCAGGTCAGTCTTGGAAATTCCATGGCAGTCGCAATTCAAATAACAGTGCCCTCTGTAACGAAAAAGGAAGCTCGCTAGCCTGCTCCCCGCGGGAATTTCGGGCGGTGGAGGTCCACCCCGACCACTTGTTGCGAGTGCCACAGCTCAAGCCTCTCATCTCGTATTCTGATGATACGAAAACATATCCAAGGTCTGCAGAATGCCGCGCTTGGTTGTCTTCAACAAACAATTGGGTTTGCCAATGTTGTTGCAGAGGACCAGGTCCGAGGCGCGTGACGTTGGCCAATGGCCGCGCAGCGTCTGCATGGACAGCTCACCTGAGATCTCGCTTCCTTCATACCTGAAGGATCCTTCATCAACCCTGTCGCCAAGTTCTTCGGCGCTGCAGTGCAAGTTTATTTGCGGCACAGAATAGGCAGCAAGATGTCGTTCTCAATACTTGAACCGCCAGTCTCTTCTCCATGCCAGCTACTTGAGGCGCCTACCTTTATGCTGAGTACCTAGCAAGTCTTCTCTCAACCCACACATTGGCACCTAGTGTAAGAATTAGGAGCCGCCACTCGTTCGTCGTTGTTACTCAGCAAACATCGCCTGCAACCTTGAAACCGCAGGCTAATTCCGCTCGCTTTTCCCGTTTCGTCGGTCATCGCCATGTTTGCGTCTCTGCCCAACGCTGGCCGCCCGTCGGCGTTGCTCGTCCTGGGATGCCTCGCCACCGCCCTGGCGCAGGGCTATTCTGTTGGTACAGATGGTACATTGAGTCACTTTCAGAGTTGGGATTCGAGGCTTGGCTGACAGTGTGAAAGATGAAATTCGCGAGTCAGCGCAGACCCTTGCGTATGACGCGATGCGCTTTTACGATGGCAACAACACGGGCAAGACCCCCGGTCTCCTGCCGGGACCGCCATCTGAGGGTCTGGGTGACTACTACTGGTACCAAGCAGCCACAATGATGAGCACCCTCGTTGACTATTGGCACTTGACTGGTGACGCGACCTACAACGATGTCGTGGCCGAGGGCTTGGCCCACCAGGCTGGAAAGGACCGCAACTACATGCCGGCCAACCAGACTGCTACGCTCGTCAATGACGATCAAGGCTTCTGGGGCATGGCCGCTATGTTGGCTGCCGAACATCAATTTCCCGCTCCTGACAATGAAGGTTGGCTGTCCTTGGCACAAGCCGTTTGGGACATTCAGGTTGGGCGTCTCGATGAACGGTGCGGCGGAGGGCTGGCCTGGGCCGTTTCCCCTGAACAGCTTGGCTACCAGTACAAGAATACCGTTTCCAACGCCGTCTTTTTCAACCTGGGCGCGCGCCTCGCCCGCTACACCGATAACAGCACCTACCTGCGCCAGGCCGAGGCGACCTGGGATTGGCTTTGGGCTTTGGAATACATTGACCACAAGACCTGGCGAGCGTACGATGGTGCGCACTCTGAGCAAAACTGTACCGATGTGAACAAGGCCACCTTTTCCACAAACATTGCTTTCCTGACGCAGGGGGCTGCCTTCATCTACAACCACACCCAGGAGGAGAAGTGGCTTGAGCGTACGAACGAGCTCGTCGGGCGATTCCTCCAGGACTTCTTCCCCGAAGACGTCGCTTACGAGGTCCCCTGCGAGGCCGCCAAGGGTCGCTGCACTGGCGACATGATTGCGTACAAGGGCTATGCGCATCGACTCCTGGCTGTTGTCACCCAGCTCGTCCCCTCTACAAGCAGGCTCATCCTGCCCGTGCTGCAAAAGTCGGCGCAAGCCGCCGTTGAGCAGTGCACTGGTGGCGATTCGGGACGTGCATGCGGCTTCTACTGGTCAACCGGCGAGTACGTCGAACCGGAAGCGGATGGCACGACTGGTGCTGGCGAGGCCCTGAACGTGCTGGCTGCCGTCTCGTCGCTGCTCATCGACGGCGCGAGCTCTCCGGTGACCAATGCTACGGGAACCTCGACCGAAGATAGTGGCAGCGACAGCGAGGCGCACACGAACAACGATCCAGCGACATCGACGAACAGCTCAGGTGCCGCCACCTTTGGCCCTGCAATGCTCGCTAGCGGAATGGGTACCCTTCTCTGGATGTTCCTGTAAACAGTTCATCATAATCATAGGAGCTTGGACCGCCCGCTGGATGGTATCATTATCGATAGAATTCTGTATTGAGTCTTTGAGCCCTAAACAATCGCATTGCGCCTAGGATGCCTCTATGACTAAAGATCCGCCCCCCCGCGAATTGACCGAAGTGTCGCCCCCTTCGCTTTGTTGGACCATCTATGCCATGTTAGTGACAGTTAATAGCAGAAATGAATCTGTTCTGTTCTGCTCACATCTTTATACGCCTTCGTCTCACAGGACGCAATCATGCACGGATCTGTCGCACACAACAGCATTTGTCCGAGGAGAGTGGCCCTGCAGCCTTTCCACGGCCACTCCGCTGTTCTTGTGCCAGATAAGTATGCTGCCGTCTGGAGAGTCCGGTTAGTGGGGGTGACTGGCGAGACTCAAGTGTCACAAACCTTCGCTGCCGCTGACGACGAAACTCTCGTTCGCACCACCAAAAGCACTCCGAATCAAACAGGTGCCGCCTGTGTGTCCGATGAATTTCTGTACAGGTTTCCGAGCGATCAGATCGATCAGCTGCGCCTCGTCGTTTTGTTTGTTGACCAGCAGATGCCTCGAATCCACACTGATGCTAACCGAGGTTGGCCTAGAATCGAGCTTCATAGTGCATTCAAGCTTTCGCGTCACAGCGTTGTAGATATGAATCGACTGCGAGTCGTCTACGGCGACCAGCCAGTGGCCGTCGGCGGAACCACAGACATCTTGGACCCTGTGCTTCTTTGCCCAGTCGCATATGAGCTCTCCGTCTACGCTCCAGGACTGTATACTGTGCTCCTTGTCCAGTGAACTGACCACGAAGCTTTGGCCGTCCGGCGCCCAGACGCACCCGCTGACAGGCTCTGCGAGGCGGCCAATCTTCTTTAGGAGGTGGCCGGACTATTATTGTTGTTAGTGAGTGGAACGGGATACGAGGACCTAGAGCCCACCTTGGTATCCCACAGCCGTGCATGCTTATCTCGACCGCATGTTACTATCATGGAGTCATCCGGACTCCATGCCAGATTCGCGCAGCCATCGACATGGTCCCCTAGTGTCCGGACAACGTTGAAAGAGGGGACTTCCCAAATCATAACTGTGTCATTAGATCCAAATCCAGCCAGTTTCCGTCCGTCATTGGAAAACTGAACACCCCAAACCTCACCCGTCAGATCAGTGAGTTGCAGTGCAGTCTCGTTGGGGAAGTGAGTGCGGTCACAAGTGTGGTCGGAGTAGAGAGATGGCGAGGATGCGCTGGTGTGCCAGAGACAGCTATCGATCTGACTCTGTTTCACCTGGTCCAGTAGGACAGCCAGGCGATTTTGAGGTAGCATGACGGACGGTGATATACATTCTGCTCTTCGATCAACACACGGAAACTGCCGGGTTGGCAAGGGACTCACTGGATAGTTCTGAAAGCAGCTCACGTCTTGAATTACCCCGTGAGCCGTCCCAGCCGGATTTAGACCGCAGATCTTCGGTCGACGTGCACATGAGTAGACTAGACAACATGTGGAGCTTCTGGGTGTCCTGGTATAATGGCGTAAGCTCCGTCCTCAGAACCACAAGAGCTTGACTAATGTGCTTGCTTTCCAGTAATTCCAAGAACTTCTGTTGTCGTATCCAAAATCGCATGAGGCTTGGGTTGGATCCTGAAGCAAGAACCAAACCATTCCCCTGCTGGCCCCTGTCACCGGAGGCAGCAGCCCCAGAGAGGAGTTCTTCGGCCACATCCCACACCCCATCAATGATAGCAGTTCGAAAGCTTCCAACAGTTTTGCTCTCAAGCTGAAAGCCGCTGTCGTGACTCAAAGACTCGGCAGCGGACTGATATCCCATGTCCGCCAAGGTCTGTATGAGGATGCGAGTGACCTCCTCCCTGTCATGGCCATGGTATGAGGAGGAGGCCAAACGAGAGACAACTGAGGAGCCATTTGTCGCTATCGCCGCTTTGTATATGCCGTTAGCCGAGGATGTCGTGGTTTCAGCAGTGGAAGCACCATTATGGCTAGGCCTCGACGTCCCGTTCGAGGTACGAGCATCGTCATCAGCTGGCATGTCGGTCCGGTGGCGCTTGTAACGAGAGCTCCGATTTGGGGTACCTCCGACCAAGTCCGTATGTTCCTGGTCTGAATCGCTGCGTTGTCTCCGGCCGAGGGCCTGGCGTGGCTGGTTCGATGCTATCGTATGGGTACTGGCGCGAGGATGGGAACTCGAAGATGGGTGTTCACGGCTGTCGATGGTGTACGTTGATGGCGGGGACTGGTGAAGCTGGTCTGGATTGGGGGCAGAGGAGACGGGTTCGGCGATGTGTCGAGGATTTGGCGAGGTAGATGGGCCGTCGGAGTTGGGATCGGGATTGGAATGGGGAGGGGAATGAGGATGGGAGTCCAGCGTGAGGTCGACGACCTGCCGTTCACCGCGGGAATGATCCCGCGGTGGAATGAGCAAGAGCTTGTCTAAGGAATAAGGCGACTCCCGTCAAGAAAGTAACACGGTAGCATGTAAGAGGGAGTCTCTGGCGCTCGTTGGTATTCGTGGTATGCTTGAGTGACGGCGACAATGGTTGGGACCGGGTGAGGTTAAGGTGCAGGTAGGTAGGTCACCATCGACCAGGTACGTACTGGGCAGCCAGGTGCGTTTTGGCTTGGAGAAGCAATGCTGCAAGAGGTGAGCACATGACAGCAGGCGACCTTGATTGGACGTCATCATGGCACCAGCACCAACCAGGTGGCCGACGCAGGGATTCCGCAGGCTCCGCTCCACTGTGGGGTATGTGCTGCTTGATCTTATCAGGGCGCTGCTGCTGCTGCTGGCATGCTCTCTCCGCCAACACCAGTTAGTAACATGTCAGGTGCCTCCCACCTGAACACCTGCCTGATACTCGCTCCATTCGGTCCATTCGGGCCAGAGCTCTCAAAATGCTAGAAGTACCTACGCGAGTGGGTCACGACTGCTAGAAAGAGAGGTGGCTTGGTGTTGGTTGTCACCTCTCCTGGAGTGTTCGAAATGTGTCATGAGAGAAGCCTTGCATATGTCTTGGGGCCGCATAGAGGCCAGTAAAAGCCTAGCACAAGCCTAACGAGCTATGCCGTGCCAAAGGTTTCTTAGGCCAGAACCAGTCACTGACTGCACAATAGATGAGGGTGTTCTATTCCAGGGTGCCCTTCCAGCGCTCGGTTCAAGTTCAAGAAAAGGTACTTCACTTAGTCAAACACGCTCAAACAGCACCTCGTACTGTCCTGCCGCCACACCGGCCTCCTCGCTACATGTAAACTCTAAGAATGCCTCCACACGGCAACAACTCCTTGTACAAAGGTTGCTGCCTACCTACTTGAACAAACATGATACATAACCCCATTAGTGACGACTTTGATGACGACAACATCAATCAACAATTGTCCGACTTAGGCACCTGAATTTAAGCAACTTCGATTGGCGGTGCGACTGCCTTGAAGCGATGAGTAAGCACATATCGCCAATCATGTGGGAGGGTCTCGTAGGGGAATCGCCTCGCACTAGGCAATCCAGCGCAATCCACGCTCAGGCTGGCAGCCAGAAGGCTGAGCTCGAGCCACACGTGGCTAGCGCCCCTGCTCTGGCCAGCGACGTCGTAAGTCGAGGTGGATTTGTTGCCCCGGTCAGGCTTGTGAATGTCTCCCAAAGCCCCAACCCAACAACGACGCTTCGAGGAGAGAACCTTCGAGCACTCGCATCTTTGCTGACCACCAGCTTTCGTTGCGCCAGCTGTTGCGAAAATCCATCGAGACGGATAAATCCGCCAAGTCGCTCCCCCAACAACATTCACCGCATCACCCAAGTCCTTCTCAAGTCACGCTTCAGCAACCATCTGCGACACGAGCCACCCTCACCGTCACTCCAGAGACGGCCGACGAGCCCATCGCCAGAATCACCACACCTCACGTCCATATTTTACAAAACCACACGACATCCATCATGGCGGCCAACGCTCATGTCGCCAGTGCCCACGGCGGTATTTCCGATCCTGCTCTCATCACGTACGCTTGTTCCATCCTCCTCTACACATTTGGATGCAGGCAGCTAATAAGGCATGTAGACTGGTCAACAAGCTCCAGGATGTATTTTCGACAGTTGGTGTCAACAATCCCATCGACCTTCCCCAGATCGCTGTTGTCGGCAGTCAGTCCAGTGGAAAGAGTTCCGTGCTAGAGAACATCGTTGGTCGCGACTTGTAAGCCCCTTTCTCCTTACCCCTCCTTGTCCCTGCTCATGTGGTTCTGACGCTGACCCCACCACCACCAGCCTGCCGCGAGGTGCTGGTATTTGCACACGACGACCGCTTGTCCTCCAGCTCATCAACCGACCGGCACAAGCCTCCAACGGCGTCAACGACGAGGTCGCCAACAGCTCCGACAAGGCCGCCAACAACGACGAGTGGGGCGAGTTCCTCCACATCCCGGGCCAGAAGTTCTTCGACTTCAACAAGATCCGCGACGAAATCAGCAGGGAGACTGATGCAAAGGTTGGCCGAAATGCCGGCATCTCGGCGGCGCCGATCAACCTGCGTGTCTACTCTCCCAATGTCCTTACCTTGACTCTTGTTGATTTGCCTGGCTTGACCAAAGTTCCTGTTGGTGACCAGCCCAGGGATATCGAGAGGCAGATTCGCGACATGGTGCTCAAGTACATCTCGAAGCCAAACGCCATCGTCCTTGCTGTAACCTCAGCCAACATCGATCTGGCAAACTCTGACGGTCTCAAGATGGCGAGGGAGGTGGACCCCGAGGGCCAAAGAACTATCGGCGTCTTGACCAAGATTGATTTGATGGACGACGGAACCGATGTTGTAGACATTCTGGCGGGTCGCATCATCCCCCTGCGTCTCGGCTACGTCCCTGTCGTCAACCGAGGACAGCGCGACATCGACAACAAGAAGGCCATCACGAGCGCCCTTGAAGCTGAGAAGAACTTCTTCGAGAACCACAAGTCATACCGCAACAAGAGCTCCTACTGCGGTACACCGTACCTGGCGAAAAAGCTTAACCTCATCCTTATGATGCATATCAAGCAAACGCTTCCTGACATCAAGGCTCGCATTTCCAGCTCTCTACAGAAGTACACCTCGGAGCTGGATAGCCTCGGCCCTAGCATGCTTGGCAACAGCGGCAATATTGTTCTGAACATTATCACCGAGTTTACGAATGAATGGCGTACGGTTTTGGACGGCAACAACACGGAGCTGTCGAGCACAGAGCTGTCGGGTGGTGCCCGTATCAGCTTTGTGTTCCACGAACTGTACTCCAATGGTGTCAAGGCCGTCGATCCGTTTGATGTCGTCAAGGATGTCGATATCCGCACTATCCTTTACAACTCCTCGGGCTCTTCGCCTGCACTCTTTGTAGGCACGACCGCCTTTGAGCTGATCGTCAAGCAGCAGATCAAGCGACTGGAAGACCCTAGCCTGAAGTGCGTGTCGCTCGTCTATGACGAGTTGGTTCGCATCCTTTCACAGCTTCTTGGCAAGACGCTGTACAGGAGGTATCCCCAACTCAAGGAGAAGATGCACGCTGTCGTCATCGGTTTCTTTAAGAAAGCAATGGCTCCCACGAACAAGCTTGTCAAGGATCTTGTCAGCATGGAGGCTTGCTATGTCAACACTGGACACCCTGATTTCCTCAACGGCCACCGTGCCATGGCAATCGTCAATGAGCGGTACAACCCCGCCAAGCCTGTGCAGGTCGACCCCAAGACCGGCAAGCCTCTGCCCGGCGGAACACCCAGGGCTCAGTCCCCAACTGTGCCTGAAAGCGACGCCAACGGTGGTTTCTTCGGCAGTTTCTTCGCAGCGAAGAACAAGAAGAAGGCGGCCGCGATGGAGGCCCCTCCCCCTACGCTCAAGGCCTCTGGCATGCTTTCTGAGCGCGAGAACATTGAGGTCGAGGTCATCAGTAAGTTTGCCACAAGTGGAAGGAAAGTCTATCATCAGTCGATTAACCGTCACCCTTAGAGCTGCTTATCTCATCTTACTTCAACATTACGAAGCGTACCATGATCGACATGGTTCCCAAGGCTATCATGCTCAATCTTGTTCAGTACGTAGCCCCGCCCGTTATGATGTCAAAACTTTGCTGACATGTGAATAGGTTTACCAAGGATGAGATGCAAAAGGAGCTCCTGGAGAATATGTACCGCAGCGATACTCTCGACGACCTGCTCAAGGAAAGCGACTTCACCGTGCGCCGGAGAAAGGAGTGCCAGCAAATGGTCGAGTCCCTCGCGCGGGCCAGCGAGATTGTCAGCCAGGTTCAGTAGATGCGATGACGACGACGATACAGAGAGGTTACGAAGCACACGTTCTCGAATTGCATACTGGGGAGACGTTCGGCGTGTGTTAGAAGGAGCACGTGTGTGCAGGTCTCCGAGATTACCGGTTCTCGACGAAGGATGGCCCCATCCATGATGCGAGTTGCGGAAGCGCATGTGGACATCACGAGGCCGATTCATCCGCAAGGACCCGACATAGGGAGGAGTGGGGGAGTCCAGACGGTGCGCTTTTGGTGTTGCACACTCTTGTTGACGCGTTTTACAATTTGGCTTGCCCGTGCCTTGGGTTGCGCGACCGCTGTCTCCCCTTGTTTTCGATTAGGCAGGGAGTAGCTTAGAATTTTATCATGATGTATTGTTTGCGAACCTGCTCGTCATGACATCGATTGATCTATGGACAAAGAATGTATGTGACCAAATCGCGTACGCCGGATGGCACACGGCGGCCTGTGGAGACATGTCAGGGGTCGCCAGACTGCTGGGATCTTTCGGTTTGATTTAGTCAGTCTGACATGCGTAACCAACGCGCCCGATCTGGTGTGACGATCAGTGTAACGGCAGTGTGTACCGAAAATCATACAAATGTAGCAACCACGGTGATTTTCGACGCGGTCCTCAACAGTCTCTCTCTCGCGCATCTTCGCCTGCCAGGGAGAGTGCCTGCTGGCGGTATGGGATGAGACACCGCGAAAGGACTACCCTCCCAAGTTGCATACCCATATCGGTGAGACAGTTAGTGACATAGCCGTGTCCTGACGACATGACACAGGCATGAGCTACAATGTAACGACACCTTGTCTGGGCCTCGGCAACTTTCATCTCTTGGCCTTCTCAAAAGTTTCATGAACGAATCTCATATATACGTGACGAATCAATAAGACCAGCTGATTGGGTAAAGACGACTCCTTGCATTTCCCAATTGATCGGTTCGTCGGTCCATCGCTGCAATGGCCGGGCTCATCAACTCGTTCGTCTCTCAATTCAAAAACCTTCCAGTCCCCGAGGACCTGCAGATAGGAAGGACCATCATCGTCACTGGCGCCAACGTTGGCCTCGGCCTCGAGGCTGCGCGTCACTTCACCCGCCTGCACGCTGACCGCGTCATTGTCGCTTGTCGCGATACCGCAAAGGGGGAGGCCGCAGTCAAGACGATACGCGCCTCCCACCCTGACAGTCCCACCCGTCTCGATGTCTGGCAGATCGACCTTGGCGTCTTTAACAATGTCAAGGCCTTTGCCGCCCGTGTCGAGAAGGAGCTTGGCCGTGTTGACATCTTACTGAGTAATGCTAGTCTCGCAACAGCTGAGTACGCCGACACGGGCGAGGGATGGGAGTCGACGCTGGCCATCAATGTCATCGGGACGTTCCTCCTGTCGATTCTTCTGCTCCCCAAGATGAGGGCGACGGCCAAGCAGTACAAGACGAAGCCGCATCTTACTGTCACTGCTAGTGCGGCAGGTCACCTGGTAAGGCTCACTATAACTCCACCATACAAGTGTCTCGCGTGTTGAACCCTCCCGCTAACATTGGCTAGGCTTACTTCAACGAGCGTAAAGAGAAGGAGGTCTTCAAAGCTCTCAACGAGAACCGCAGTCTCCTAGACCGCTACAACGTCTCCAAGCTTCTGCAGATCATCGCCGTTAAACACCTCGCCGTTGCGACGCGCGCCTCGGCGCACAGCGCCGATGAGGACATCATCATCAACTCGGTCCACCCTGGCCTCTGCCAGACGGAGCTGTTCCGTTCCATGCCCTTCCCCTTCAACTACCCCGTGAACATTGGTCTACGCATCGTCGGGCGTACGTCGGAGATGGGCTCGCGCTGCCTGCTGGCTGGAGCGCTCGCCGATGAGGAGTCACACGGGCGGTACATGGAGAACTGCCTCGTTGCGGACTATGCCCCCATCTTGAACGGCGATGATGGCGAGGTGATGCAATCCAAGGTCTGGGAGGAGCTGATGGGCATCTTGGAGGACATCCAGCCCGGGATCCAAAAGTTGGTTTGAACAGGGCCGTTTGCAGGATGAGTGGGTGTGTGTGTACAAGTATTCTTATTTGAGCGAATGAATCTGTGAAGTATGCATGGGTGAATATTGGGCCTACCTGAGCGGCTTAGAAGTCTGCTGTGACTTGCTATCGTTCCGTATGACCCTACTTGTCAGGAGTTCTAGGCTGGCTGATCATGCCGAAGCACATGTTGATCAAGCTAGGCACTGCATCTCATTGGAGGGGCCACGGCGTGAGGTTGGGTTACACAATACAGTCCGTCGCCATTGAGCACACTGCCGAGTGATTGCAGTTCAAGTCCGGCGATTGCCGTTGCATAAGGCAGAGCATGCTTTTCAGCGCCAAAGTCTCAAGCCACAGCATCTGTGAGGGAGGGGGAGATGTCTCACACCGGTCACCAGCAAATGGTGCGTCGCTCAGCATGATGCTTGCAGTCTGTTGACAATCGACAGCTTTCAGCCCGTTGCAAGTCCCCTCACGAGTTCAACTCGTCACAACATGTGAGCACCCCCACCACACGACTCTGCGAAATACCTCACCAACACGAGACGCAGCGATTTGGCGACGTTTCAATCAGCTGGCTGCGGCATGCTCTGCGACTGGGCGATTGGCCGACGAACGGGCGTTCCATCCAATAGTCGTCACAATCCCAGTCGCATGCTAGCCTTTTGTAAATTCATCCAACCCAAAGCAGTCGGTCAGCTAGCTACGCATGCCCTCGACTTGGATGATCAATGACCTGCCTTTCGACGATTGGCGCCTCACAACTCAGCTTTCGAGAAAGCCTCCCTGCAAAGCCCAACTCCAATCGGCACATGGCGAGGCCATCGTCAACCAGTTGGATCCGGCTTCGACCGCCCTTCAACGTCGCCACTTGCCAGCACGTTCCTGCAAGGAGAGCTCGGTCAGAAGATGCCATTCGGAGAATACCATGCAGCATTTCAAGCGACATCTCAGGTGCCACGCGACGGCCCGCGGACGCCACCCTCCGGAGGCTGCGCAATGCAGCGCGACCTCCTCCCCTTGAGGCTCCAGTTTTGTGAGACCCCCTCAACGCGCGGCTCGAGGTCCGCGCCGGCCAGCACTAACGCATTTGTGAATGGATGCGTTAGTGGCTTGGATCCAGACCTTCCCCCTTCGTGGTGCATCGCGACTTAGCTTGGCCAGGACTGTCGATGGGTTGCCTTGTTCCGGCCGAGGCGAGTCTTCAGCTCATACTAGTCGTCATGTTCCCGCATGTCACAAATGTGACCCGTCATGTTCGACCGAACCGCCGTGATTCAGCTGGCCACCATGGGCTGCTGCACGCACGGGCATGTGCTCAGAATCGATTGACTTTCGCATTTGGTGTTTCGTATGCTTCACAGGTTCGCCAATGTGTGGGAAGGAGAGGGGGAGGGGATGTCATCTGGAACTTTGACTATCAGTTGCCTTTGAGAGGACACTACCATTGAGGCTCGACGACCTCACAGCTCTCTATAAAACCGAGCGTCAGCCATCCCATCCATTGATCCATCCTCGTGTCCAGGTTCTTATGGTGGGATAAACTCTTCTCAGAATAACTCAAATACTTCATCAGCACATCGAAATCTTTGACAATGGCTCTCCGTGGTACAAGAATCTCGGCTGACATACTGCCCGAGGTGCCTCCTGGCCTCCGCGCAGCTGTAGCCAAATCGCACCTCAGCAAGTATCTCGAGGAAAAGAGAGCCCGCGTCAAGAACCAGGACGTGGCACCTCTTCCTCCCTTCTCGCTCCCATCTCTCGATGAAGCTCACAGGCTCTACGGCGCCGCCGGAGGTTTTGATGACAAGATCTGCATCGTCGGCGCCGGCGCCGCGGGCTTGTACGTGGCCATGATGCTCAAGTACCTTGGCATCACAAACGTCGACATCCTCGAGGCCTCTGACCATGCCGGCGGTCGGTGTGCCACATACACCTTTACTGACTCTACACCCTGTACTCATAACTACTACGACGTGGGCGCGATGAGGATTCCGGATATTCCCGGCATGGCTTCGTGAGTACCTAGTCACCGAAGGCGCTCGCTTTGGGCCATGGGAGCCCGGCTGACCGATGCCTAGGACTCTGAACCTCATCAATAATCCCAAGCTGCTGAACATCCCAGACAAGCTGGTTGATTACGTGTACCGGGTCCTCGATGCTGATGGAAATGGGTACGAACCGACGAGCTTTTGGTACTCCAACACCAAATCACCCGAGTGAGTACTGCGCTGCAGCTGGCAATATGGATATGGACTAAAGTCTTGCAGCGGCTCCGCCTTTGAAACTGCCATCGCGGCCGTCCTCACCCAATTCACCACCCAAACCGATCAGTACTACGCTGATGGCAACGACAACTACTCGACCAGAGACTACCTCATGCTGAAGGCTGGCCTGACTTACGACCAAACCATGTCTGGCGAGACAAGTGATACGTAAGCCCTCACGCAGCCCAGAACCTCGTGCAGACCTCGGCACGGTCCGTGTCGTGTATTCCATGCTGATTCGGAATCATGCACCAGATCCACCGGGCTCTTCGACCAGGCCCTCACCGAGACGCTTTGCGATTACAGCGACTTCAACGCGGCGACGAAGAAGCCCTGGTACCGACTCGAGGGCGGCATGTCTGTGGTGACCGACACCATGAGGAGCACGGTAGAAGGCTCAAGCTGGCCCGATACCACGACTCCTGCCATCAAGGTCACCTGCTCGACGCCCGTCGTGGCCATGGGCCTTTCCTCCGACGGCACCGCCATCGAGGTGACGACGGCCGACCAGAACGGCAAGCCCCAGCCCCCGACTCAGTACGGCATGGTCTTCAACACGACGGCCATGGCGCCGCTCCAGCGCATGGACATTCAAGGCCTCGGTCTCGATGACGGAATCCTCACGGGCATCCGCGCGCTCAGCTACGACCGCGCCACCAAGGTCGCCATCAAGTTCAAGACGCGCTGGTGGGCGAGCTTCTACCAGGGCAACGACAAGTACGGCGGCGTCTCGTCCTCGGACCTCCCCATCAGCAACGTCGTCTACCCCTCCTGGGACGACGGCGCCGACAGCCCCAACGTCCTCATGGTCTCCTACTCGTGGGCCCAGGACGCGTCGCGCATGGCGGCCCTCGTGCCCGACTACACCAAGGTCGCCCCGCAGCAGAGCGACGCCATCGTCGCCGTCTGCCTCCAGGGCCTCGTCAAGCTGTGGGCCGGCCAGCCCAAGCCGCCGAGCTTCGACGACCTGTGGGGCGACTATGCGGCGCACCACGCCTGGGCGTGGTCGCACGACCCGTTCACCGGCGGCGCGTTCGCCCTGTTCGGCCCGGGCCAGTTCAGCAACCTGTACCCGCCGTTCCAGGACATGTTCTGCGGCAACAAATTCACCATGTGCGGCGAGGCGCTGAGCGCGCACCACGCCTGGATCTCGGGGGCGCTAGACAGTGCGTACGGTGCGGTGCTGAGGTGGCTGTTGTCGCGGGACATGTTCGTCGAGGCTGCCAAGCTGAAGCTGTCGCCATTCGGTCTCGGCAAGGGGGAGCACGCGGAGGAGATCGACGAGACGCTGGTGCACTGGACGGTCAAGCTGAGCGGGAAGTAGAGCAAGTCGACAACACGCAGAGTCGCACGGGACATGGCAAAGGGGCCATCAGATTGTGAAACGGGCGCGGGAGGCTTGCTAGTTTGGTACAAAAAAAAAAAAGTCCGTCATCCATTGATTTACCAAAGGTGCTCCAGTCTACAGTTTTGACTTGAGGACCAAGCCTCCTCGCAGCACTTCGAACTCCTTGCCGCTGCTCCAGCCCAGCCACTCCTGCAGCATAGCCTCGCCGCCGTCTCCAGGGCGCAACGGGATGCCGACGTATCCAGCGCCGGGCACCCCAGGCCCTTGGCCCTGGCGCGCATCCTTGGCCCCTGCGACGACGGCCAGGCATGGCGTTTCAACGAGCGTGACGGCGGGGCGCTGGTCGCCCTCGCGCCCCGCTTCCGACTCGAGCTCGGGGTACTCCAACACGGGCGTGCAGCACGCGTCGGTGCCGTCGAAGATGGCTTCCCACTCTGTTCGGGATTTCGAGAGGAAGACCTCTGTGAAGAGGGCGCGCATCGCGGGCCACACCTGCGGATCCTGTCGTTTCGCCTCCCAGCCCTGGCCCTCGAGGCCGAGGCCCCGGATCAGGGCCTTGTAGAACTGAGGCTCGAGGGCGCCGACTGACATGTACCTGCCGTCGCTCGTCTCGTACGTGTCGTAGTACGGGCAGCCGCCGTCGAGGAGGTTGCGTCCGCGGCCGTTGCTGCCGAGCGGCGTCTTGAGCGCGGAAGCGCGGGAAGGTCGTCAGGTAGCTCGCGCCGTCGACCATGTTGGGCCTCGACAACCTGGCCGCGGCCGGTGGCGTGGCGCGCGACGACGGCGAGGAGGAGGCCCTGGAAGAGCGTGGCGCCGCCGCCGGCAAAGTCGGCGAGGATGTTCCAGGGCGGGTGGGGCTTCTCGCCGTCGCGGCCGAGGACGCCGAGGGCGCCCGAGACGGCGAGGTAGTTGATGTCGTGGCCGGCCATGGCGGCGTACTTGCCGTCGCGGCGGAAGCCGGTCATGCGGCCGTAGATGAGGCGCGGGTTCAGGGCGCAGAGGACGTCGGGGCCGAGACCGAGCTTCTCGAGCACGCCTGGTCGGAAGGGGTCGATGAGCATGTCGGCCGAGGCGGCGAGCGTCTTGACGAGGGCGACGCCGGCGGGGTCCTTGAGGTCGACGGCGATCGAGGCCTTGTGGCGCGCGAGCATGTCTTCGGTCGGCAGGGGCTTCCCCTTGCCGTCGGCCTGGGGCACAGCGCGGTCGATGCGGAGGACGCTGGCGCCGGCGTCGGCGAGTAGCATGCCGGCAAAGGGGCCTGGTGCCAGGCCTGCAAATTCGAGGACCTTAAGCCCGGTGAGAGGTGGCGGGCCAACCATGGTGGCGTCTAGAAGGTCTGGTGCCTTTGTGTGTTTGTGTACTCGATATTCGCAGCTCAGGTCGATGCTTCAATGGTTTTCGTCAATGGTGCCTGTCAATGCAGCAGCCTATCCGCAAATTCGGTCACATGGTTGGTGATGATGATGATGCGAGACAGCCTCTTCTTATGACGCGGAGTTGGATATCCGTTGAGATGAGGAGGCTTTGGGGGGGGGATGGGCGAAATGCCGAGGATGCGTGCGGATCGAGGAACAGGGGAAGTGAGGGGAGGGAGGGGAGGGAGCTTGGGCCTGCTGAAGCTCGCTCGGCTGGACACGTGCCCCGCATTGATGAGGAGCCTCGCCGCTGGGGAGCCTCGCTGCTGGGAGCCTCGCCGCTGGCAGGTACTTGGGCTAACCCCCACATCGTGCAGCAGGTTCGAGTACCCGTGAGCACGTGGGGATGAATCCTGGATCCTTACATACCTTACCTTAGGTACCTTAGGTAGACAGGTAGGGAGTGAGCTCCTAACAATGGATTCGGCAAGGGCTGATTCTGTTTTACGACCTGATAGTTCTCATGCCGAACCCCTCTTGGAGGGTTCAGGGCTATTGCACATAGGAGGCAAGCTTGATTTGCGACTATGAGCCTTGCTGTGGTGTCGCAACGGGCAGTGCACTTGATCTCACAAACATACGGCAAGTTGAACTGACCACTGACTGAGATTGAGTGTAGCCTCGGACGCCCGGGCGACGCAGTTGACCTTGCATATTCTTCTATATTCAATTTTCACCGTTCTCTATGTACATGTACCGATTGCCCATCTCAAAAGATTTTGACTGGCTCTCCAAGCTTGAGCCAGATGACATGCCCATGAACACCAGCCTCCTCGAAAGCATTCGTCAACTCCTGTTGATATTGCGTGAAGTGGTCCCAACCGTCGAAGTGCATGGGGATGATCCAGTCGGCCTTGATGGCGCGGAACAGCTGGGCTGCGTCCTTACCGCCCATGGTGATCTGGGTTTTCGGGGCAGGCTCAGGCTCAAATTGGAAACGAGCATCGCCAATGTTCATAATGGCGGCCGCAATATGGAATCTGTCGGCCATCGCAGGGAGCTCATCCGTGTACACGGTGTCGCCGCTGAAGTATAGGGCGTTGGGACGACCGTCGGGGTGTTTGCCAAAGGACTCGGTCGTGAGGATGAAGCCGGTGCACTCGTCGCCGGGAACGTGGACGGCGGGCGTAGCCGTGATGCGGAACGTCTTGCCGCCCAAGGCAATCGTGTTTTCCTGCCACGGCCGCATGCCGACGACGCCTGGCCGAGGGGCCAGTTGCTTAGCACCGTCCATCGTGGTGAATACATGGCGGCCGTCGAGGAGCTGGCGGCCAAGCTCGTCGAGGTTATCCCAGTGGTCTTCATGGCTGAGGAGGACGGCGTCGATAGGAGGAAGATCTTTGAGGGTCAGAGCGGGTTCGTCGTGGTTGAAGAGCTGGTACCCGCGCTCTGGGTGTTGATAGGAAGTCTTAGCCGGCGCGAAGAAGGGATCGGTCAGGAACTTGACACCGTCGATCTCAAGAATAGCGGTCGCCGTGCCGATGAAGGTCATGCTGACGCTGCTGTTGAATCCTGAGCAAGTAGGCATGGCTGCGGTGTGGGTGGTGTTTCGACTGTTAGGGCGCTTGAGTCAACTGATCTGAGGAAAACTGGATGCAGTGCTATTTTGGAATCGGGAATTTAGACTGGTTAATATAGCATTCAATGTAACGCGAGAACTTCTCGACGAAAGCATTCCTAGCTTCTCGTTCGTTCGAACTGAAAACCTTTCGTCGGACACGCCGCGTGAGCTTGCTAAGCCTTATCAACCATCGGCAAGATGAACTTATTAAGCTCGACCCGGCGAAATGCCAGACACGACGTAATGAGATGCCCTAGTTCATCGCCGCATCTCCATCGTAGTTGTTGACGCTGGCGACATTACTTACATGTACATACGTAACAGTGGTTCGCGGGTTAAGTTACTGTAAGTGGCCTAGTCTTCAACCCGAACCACACGAGCACAGCACTTCTGCAACTGACAAATCAAACTATCCTTTACAAAGCCGGAGCCAACCGTAAGCATCGATTTTATTTACCTCAATTGGCATCTCTCTCTCGCTAAGGTCAGTTGGGAAGGGAATTCTTTGGCGCTCGCCTCTTTGACGAAGAAGACGACTGACTCCGTATAAAACATCAGGAGCCTCTTCTTGCAGCTGAAATTTGCTATCAGAATGTCACGATAAAACTTATTACTTTTGTAATATCATCTGTAACCTACTTCATGGCCAAAAAAAAACATCATCGAGCCCTCCCCTTGGTCGTACTACAGTTTATTACATCGGATGCGACTTTGACACTGCCCGAATAACCTTTCGCAAATAACTCAGTAGACCTGACGCGAAATTCTCCCCAAAAATGTCTTTAACGACCGAAAAGAGTGGAAATGAAAGCGCCCAAGACACACTGACCCACGACGAACCATCGATCGAGAGCGCGCCGTTAGGTCCCTCTGGAAATTCTGAAACTCAACCACCCGATGGTGGCCTTTGGGCGTGGTTGTCTGGTACGCAATCTTATTTAGCCTGACATCTGCTGCGGGGAATTTCTTTTAACATCGGGTCGTAGTTGTGTCGGGCTTCTTCGTCATCATGAATACCTGGTCAGTATTCATTTCTCGTCTTCACTTGCCAGCTGCAACGGCTGAATGAGAACAGGGGAGTCTTCATATCCTTTGGTGTCTTCCAAACCTACTACGTTACGGCTCTTGGACGGTCCTCTTCTGAAATCTCGTGGATTGGATCTTTCGAAGTCTTCCTGCTCTTCTTCGTGGGCAGTATAGCCGGGGCATTGACCGACGCAGGGTACTTCCGGAGCACCATGACAGCAGGCAGTCTGCTCGTTCTTATCGGGACCTTCATGACATCGGTATCCAAAACCTACTGGCAGGTGTTCCTTGCGCAAGGTGTTTGCACAGGCTTAGGCAACGGCTTGATGTTCACTCCGACCATGACGGTCATCTCGACCTACTTCACGGGGAAGCGAGCCGTGGCCTTGGCTATTGCAGCTTGCGGTAGTACTGTTGGCGGTCTCGTTTTCCCCAGCATGGCTAGAACGCTACTGCCGACAATTGGTTTCGGTTGGACGATGCGGGCCATTGGACTTATCCAGCTGGTAACGTTAGCCGCAGCCCTGGTTGTCGTCCGGCCTAGGGTAACACCTAAGATCGGAGGGGCATTCTTCGACTGGAGCGCTTTTATGATCTCTGAGTACAATTTATTTGCCATTGGATCGTTTATGGTAATTTCAGACTCTACGCCGTTACCCCTGTTCTATATGATATCAAAACTGACTTCAGTCCACAGGTTTACATTGGCCTCTTTTTTCCAATCTTCTACCTGGCGTCATATGCTCGCAGCGCATTGGGTTTGGAGTACACCCAATCTCTCAACCTGATTCTGGTTTTGAATGGTGTCGGCATCGTCGGTCGTCTCGCCCCCAGCTTCATCTCTCCGATCATTGGCCCTCTCAATCTCTTCGTCGTGCACGTGGTCGTCACGTCTCTGGTCGTCTTCCTGTGGGCCCCGGTAACGACCGTCGGAGGGTTGTATGCTTGGACCGTGTTCTTCAGCCTATCAATGGGCGGAATACAGTCGCTTGCGCCTACTGCGCTAGCTTCTGTAAGGTTTGACCCACAGAAGCAAGGCACGCTTCTTGGCATGGTCAATACCGTGTCTGGTTTCGGTGCTCTCATCGGACCAGCAGTCTCAGGGACGTTGATCAAAGGCGGGGTTGATTACTTGAATGCCCAAATGTTTGCTGCAAGCTGTATGGCCGCTGGAGCAGCTGTTTTGGTCCTCGCGCGTGAGACTAAGAGGAGGAAGGCATCCCTCGGATTTCGATCTAAGCTCTAGTCTGTAGATTTAGTCTTTGGGTTGGTTTGGGTCCTTCGTTTGCATTTATACACGCGTGTCATTTGGCGCTTGATTTATGGGTTCGGCATAGAATAGACCTAGACGAGAAGATGTAAACTGTGAACACATAGATATAGGATGTATAGTACGGTGTTGTTAGCATCTTATCTTGTGAAAGGCATTAAGACATCTTAGAGGCTTTGATTCTAGACTGAGGACATTTGCACTGCAGATTTCAGAGCATGGTCTGAGCGGTAGCCGCTGGGTTATTGGCACTGGTATGAATCGAATGATAAGATTACTGAGTGAGTCAATAGAGCTACCACTGACGAATGACTTCATCAAAATCGTAGTAGTTGCGGTGAATACCCCTTGTCCTCGTACTGACGACTCCCGCTATATTTTCCCCTAAGATTCGGCTCACGCCGTGCGCAAAGTTCTTCGCAGGAGCCTCGGGCCATGCGCTGAGTCATCTTCCTTCGCTCACAAAACAAGCGTCCCCGGCTCATCCCGCGCGGAGGCAAAACATTCTTATAGGTCTGTGATGTTTACATATCAAATGTGACGGTCACATTTGAACCTCACTTGCGGGGCATGACCGCTAACATGTAAGCAGCCATGTCTGTCTCAATTTAGTTCCCTTCCTGCCCATGGCGCCCCGGAACGGGACTAGACGAGGAATGGTCAACATAACCCTTAGTCATCGTGTGGGGCTTCAGCACTTCTTTGTCGGACAGTCATCTTATGAAGACGGAGCTCTCTAATACACCATGAAGCATCTACAGGCTCAATTCCACCATGACGGCGCCGCAGGGTTGTTGGACGTGCAAGAGTAAGGAGTTATGGGCCCCCTACCCCAGTTCGCCTGCAACACCAGTCTAAAACACTGACTTTGCTGCTAGACCGCAAAATTGGTTGTGACAGGACAATTCCTCATTGTAACAACTGTGTTCGAACAAAAAGGGCATGTGCAGGATACGGGATTCGATTGGTCTGGCCTGATGAGCCTTGTGCCAGGCGTGGAGAACTCATCTTATGCCGTGTGGCCAACGCCGCGACTCCCCATGATTACCCTCAAGACAATTACTGCAGATTCTTGAACTTCACCTGGATGGACTTTTGCCTGAAGGAAAAGCGTCTTACTTGGCGTCAGTTCATAGAGCGAACATCTGCAGGGCCGCTGCATACCCTGTCGCTCCATTCACCAATCGTTGGCGAAGATGCCATGCTTTTAGCGTATTGTCTGTAAGCTTTGGCAAACTGTGTCCGTTCTCCAGCTCACATGCTATAGACGAGCAGATCATAGCCCCGATGTGCTCAACAACTCGGGCGAGGAATGGCTTCCATGATCAGATCCTGCCGGTGGTATTGTCCTGTCGAGATGGGTCCGCGACAGCTTTGTGCAGCTCTTTGCTAGCCATCTCTGCATATCATCACCAAGGACCAGGTGCCGCGCTGAAATATAAGATAAGTGCAATAAAGTGTCTCCATGAGTCACTGGCGGCGTCATCAAGATTGGGTTGGAACGCAGATGCAGAGGCACAGCTAGCTACTGCTATGATGCTGTGCATGTACAGCGTAAGCCGAATTACGATAAACCAGAAGGGCATTCGCAGCTAACAGTGTTCAGGTCTTTGACGAGCAGGAAGCTCAGTTTCACTTGCACCTCGACGGCGCGAAAAAAGATGTTGCGCGGCCTACAATCGCACCAACAGCAGCGCCCGGGTGTCAGATTTTCTCATGAACTGGATAGTCTACTACGACGTTCTAAAGGATGCTGTCGCTCAACCTTCCCGAGGTAGTCGGGGAGACTTGCGCGTGTTAACTTACTCAAGCAACTTACAACCCACGTCAAATTTGGTCAGTTCGATTCTAACGCTCCGGAGCTTGGCTGACTTGCACCAAGATCATTGGCCTGTTCGGATGCTCCACCGATATTTTCAGTAGCATTTCATTCATCAATCAAATGCGCATGGCGTTGTCGGACTCAAGCGTAAACCCCGATCAGGGTGAACAGTCACAACAGCGAATGGCTTTGGAAGAGAGGTTGCGAATGGCCTCCCAGCACCTCAGCCCCGATGAAGCGGCCAATTCTTCAACTGTGCAGATCAAAGATGCTTCGGTGACTGCCGAACTATATCGCTTGGCAGCTCTACTGTATCTCCAGCGGCGTCGCTCCCGCCCCCGGTGACGACATGCGAAGCGCTGTATATTTACAACAGATTTTTGCAGCTTTGAGAACGGTCCGGGTGGCAACAAGCCCCTGGCCAGTTTTTATCACCGCTTGCGAAGCACGCACAGAAGATGAACGCGTTCAGATCCTCAGAGTCTTGGAGCGAATGGACGAAATTCGAAATGTTGGGAATGTTCGCGTTATGCGAAGCCTCATCGAGTCAATATGGAAGCAGCAGGACCTACGGGATTCATCCGGTAAATCCGAGGCGATGCAATGGTGGCTTCGCGTTGATGGTGAGGTTCCAGCTCCCTGGTTTGCATAATGCCCAAACCCTTGCAATTAGAGGGCCATTGACCCAAAGTATCAATATTCCGTCCGCATATGATCCAGTCGCACGGTATGCGGAATGACGGACAAAGAATCCTTCCAAAAGAAGCTCGGCTTGGACTCATTGGCTGATGTATTATGGGATTAGTCGGAGAATTGCCTGATTTCCGCGAACTATCAATATGTTGGGGTTCGTAATGAAGGAGGTCATAAAGATGAGCTTACGGCGACAGTGGAAGAGACTTACCTTAGATTGTACAGCTTCAGGGCACAGTGACGTCCTGAAGGAGGCGCTTACGGAGGTGGGATTTGAGTAGCCTGATTCATCGGCGAACATGGCCGACCAGGTTCTGCTCTTGAGGTCGGACGCGATAATTCGAGACTGCCTGGACAAGACGAGAAGACTTAAGCAGTGGAGCTTGGTACTGGAATCAAACGCGGATATTGGTGGTGAGTCTT